GTAGGCAGTGACCGGTCACACATCAAATTAGCTCTTCTGCATCCAGATACCTCATTCTTGAAATCTTAAATCCATACAAAACATGCAAACGAGAAAATCCACGTACTGCGTAGGCAGTAACCGGTCACACCTCAAATTAGCTCTTCTGCATCCAGATACCTCATTCTTGAAATCTTAAATCCATACAAAACATGCAAACGAGAAAATCCACGTACTACGTAGGCAGTAACCGGTCACACCTCAAATTAGCTCTTCTGCATCCAGAATACCTCATTCTTGAAACCGTAAATCCATACAAAACATGCAAACGAGAAAATCGACGTACTACGTAGATTAAATAACCTATACTACCTTAATCCTCATTGGAGATGTCGACTATCTTCGTGCCCGGCTTCGGATACATGGGCGGCAACCGCAACTCCGGCTGCTCCGCCTCGGCCTCCGCCTCCATCTCTGGCGGTTCGCCTTGACATAATCCTCATCCTGGATGGACTTCATGATGGCCTACTACTCTGTCATCTTCGCCGCTTGGGCGACCGCAAACTCCTCCATGGAATCCTCCATTCTGAAGCCCACAGCCGGCGCTAGCTCCTCCTCCGGCTCATCTGCCTCGTCCTCCTCGGGATCCTCCATCGAAACCGCTTGATGCTCCTCTTCTTCATCTGCTTCAGTGAGTCCGGAGGCAGGCCGGCTGCGATGCGGGCGGAGCGCCTTGCCCGGCTCTCCTCCTCGATCTGGAAGCGACACTCCGGCGTCAGCATAGCATGGGTGGTCTTCTTCTGCCGGGCCATGCCGGACGGCGAGGGAAGAGGGAGGTGGAGACGAAGAGCAATGTGCTCGGGCTGGCGGCGCGAAGAGGGGGGAAGAGGTTGTGTCTAGGGTTGGAGATGGAGTGGCGCCATGCGGCGTTCACATCCCCACCGAAGGAGACGCTCGTCAGACTATTGGGTTTCCGGGCAATTCCGTGTGGGAACCGGTCGTCAGTTCGACGTGAAGGAAGCGCCCGGGCCTCCCCATAACTACCCTACATTTAGGCTGGATATGAAGGATGTCGGTTAACCCGGACGTTTGAGACTCGTTTGAGGCGCCTGTCTATGTTGAGTTTTTTCGATTGGTCATTGACCGCGCCATCCGCCCGTGCGTATGAGGGGGGTTTAGGGTGCCTGGTTGTAGATGCTCTTATATAAACCAAAAGGGAGAGGGCAGAACTAGTCCCTCCATTTTCTGTATATAAGATCACTATGAAAAATACATTTTGCAGCTATACAATGGAGGGAAAATTGATGACACTACGCCATACTAGCAAACTCATGGTTTAACTACTCGCATGCACGTTGTGGATGATAATGACATGCTCAGCTACTTCCTTCCTCACGTTCTGTTGTTTTTCTTTAATTTGGGTGCATCTTATATTAATTAACTTGGTAAACAAGAAGACAAGTTGGCTTGTAAAGCAGGAATTATTTTTTATTTTGGTATTTGTAATTTAAGTTTATGGCCTTGAGAAATGAAGGGAGCATCTCCATTTGGGTATATTAGACCCCTTGTATTTTTTTGGTTAAACTTTGATTGTTGATCTGCAAAATAGAAAAGCGATATATAGTAGTAAAATTTATATTACTCAATTTGCATTCAAATAAAGTTTGTAGTGATACCATTTTTTCTACATAAACCGGCGGATGTAGTATGTTTATATATGTTTCAAAGGGGAAATGCGTTCATATATATATATGAGCGCTTGCGTCTGTACTGTGTAAAAAAAAAGACCGTTGACGTAGGACGGTCAAAGTTTGGACCGGACTGTAATTACGCGATGTTAGAGGGACCAGTTGGGGAGAAGGCATCTTACTTAGCCTTAAACCGGAAGTAACAAGGGAACACGGCAACCAAGCAGAGTATCCATCGCCCACGCCACGCCACGCAAGAACACAACACCACACACCCGAGTCGCCAAGAAGAAAGCCCCAACCTTTTTTCCTCCCGATCCGTCGTCCTCGTCGTCGCCACAAGAGTTTCTCTCCGGATTCGCCGCCCTCTCCTTCTCTCCAGCCAGCCAGCCGGCCAGCGAGCGAGCGAGCGAGCGATCGATCGGATCCCGCCCGTCGGAGGTTCCAAGTCTCGCCTGATCTATCAGAGATGGCGGCCAACGCCGGCGCCGGCGCCGGTGGCAGCAAGATCCGCAACGCCAAGCTGGTGAGGGCCCCTCACCCCCGCGCCCGATCCCCACCATCTCCGTTTCGATTTCCTGTTCCGGCGGCAGGCGCCTGGATATTTTTATTTTATTTTATTTTTCGGTCCACGCTTTTTAGGCCTAAGTCTCGTTGCGAATTAGCTCCTGGCTCTGGGCGCTTCGTGCCCGCGATCGGATCAACAGCCGGCCGGCTCCTGTGTTTATTTTAGGAATTATAAATCGGACACATTTTCTTGGGTGCTGCGAAGATTCACTTCGCTGTGTGAAGTTTTCTCATATGCTGATGATGTGTGCTACGCCTCCTGTGGTGCTGGATCGATGGTCAGGTTCTTCTGGGGGATGTCGGCACCGGCAAGTCCAGCCTGGTGCTCCGGTTCGTCAAGGGCCAGTTCGTCGAGTTCCAGGTCAGCCCCCGCCCCTTCCTTCACATGCCCCAGGCTGTGCTCCAAATTGGGCATGACCGCAGGAATCTGTGTGTGCTGCTGGTGGTGGTGCTAATTTTATTTTTGCGGTTTGGCTGGCCGCAGGAATCGACCATCGGCGCGGCCTTCTTCTCGCAGACCCTGGCGGTCAACGATGAGACGGTCAAGTTCGAAATCTGGGACACGGCCGGCCAGGAGAGGTACCACAGCCTGGCGCCCATGTACTACCGCGGCGCCGCGGCCGCGATCGTCGTCTACGACATCACCAACGCGGTGAGTATGAGCAGAGCATGAGTATCTTGATTTGGCAGTAATCCTTTACCGCAGCCATGATTAATAGCAATTACCTGTAAACAATTGGTAGCTCTTGATAAGAATTTCCCTTGCTCCTTCTGCGAAATCAAATCGCCAACTGTGATCTTTGAGGCAAACTGGAAACAGCTTTAAGTCTATAAAATCTTGCTCTTTCATAGTACTAACAACATTGGCGCGAAATGTTTGAGCTTCAAAAACCATATTGTGGTAACCCTCTTCTGGGTGAGTTGTGCCTGTGTCAGGTTTTGTGTACAAACCTAGAGGATCTGAACTTATTAGGCAGTTGAAACTTCTTTATCTAATAATCATTATCAGTTGCACTCGCCACCCTACTCTGTTCAACAGAGCCATGCCTGTTTGTCTTGATGACCATACATGCTTCTTTACCCCATTGATTAATCTGGAACTCAAGTGTATTGATGCCAAAATTATTAGCACATTTAGCATTCTTCTGAGCAGGCGTATAACTGTATGTAACTGTATTCAGCAAGAACAAGTATGCACTAGTTCTGAGCTCTGACAGTCCAGACACCGTTCTGTGTGGTCTTTTCCTCCTGACCTCTTTGTCTAAGTTGGCTTTTCTAGTGATTTGTATGAATCTATTTCTGTATATGGACATATGCATTGTAGTGCTTTTACGATTCAACACTGTTCACTCACGGAATGTGTTATATTTTAACCGTGCTTTTGCATATGTTGCCTAGTTGCTTTGCTAAACGAGTAATCTGAATTCAAGACTGAAGTACGATGTAGTACCAAAACTGAACCAACAAACTCTTTGCAGTTGCACTTTGTTACTTTTTGCTTGCATCTTGTGAGCAAGCCAAATGCAGAGAAGATATGGTGTCTCTTTTTGTTTGTTTGTTTGGTGTTCATGGGTTGTTACTTGATAATAACAAAAGAACCATTTAGTTTGTATTTCAGGATCTTATATATTGCTAGTGATCTCATTAAATGCCTTGTTTATAACTCCCTCTGTCGCATAATATACAAGTGCCAAAAACGCTCTTATATTATTGGACGGAGGGAGTAGGTGATATGCACTCGCAATGCATGGCTTGTGAATCTCGACTTGACCTGCATGCATGCAAAAAAAAAGTCCTGATTTGCATCATGCAGATATGAATCAATCTTGATCTGTATCACAAGTTTAAACCCATTCTCATTTGCTACTTATCTAAAGAATGTAACTGTTGTGTAAAAGTAGGTGGATAGTTATTTAGTCCAGTTGATTATAACATTATTGTTTCTACCTCACAGGCCTCTTTTACACGTGCAAAGAAATGGGTTCAAGAACTTCAAGCACAAGGTAATCCATTTTACCCCTTTATGATGTGTTTTCTTCATTTGAGCCATAGAAATATTTATGTGGCTGTAAAACTGACCTTGTGAGTTGTAATGGTGGGCATTGCTAGAGAGGATGTCTTTGAGCATTTTGTGTAAATAAGCTGGCAGATATAGTTTTTAATTCTTGATGCGTTTTCCATGCAGGGAATCCAAACACAGTAATGGCTCTTGCTGGGAACAAGGCTGATATGTTGGAGGCAAGGCAGGTGCCAGTGGAAGTATGTAATTCTGCTTCTTGGATCTCACTTTTGACATTACAGACATGCATTTTGCTTGGGAATTTGTCACATTTCAAATACTGCACCTTGTCCAGTTACATCATGTGCAGCTTGTTTGGTTCCTGTAGTGTTTTATTACGACAGAGATGCCATTTTTCTGTGAGAGATAAACATGTTGGTACTGTCCGAACGAGAACAGCACAATGATACAGCCTGTACTACTACTATGTTGTTTGAATGATTTATCCAAAGCTAAACTCTTGTTGGCGGTGCAGGAAGCGACGACTTACGCACAAGAGAATGGGCTCTTCTTCATTGAAACGTCTGCCAAAACAGCCATCAATGTGAATGACGTATTCTATGAGCTCGGTGAGTACTACATACTATAGATCACTTTACTGTGGGATGGCCGGTTGTTATTACATACTACAAAAGAAATTTCTCTGTTCCCTTTTCCTGCTAATTAATGTCTAAGCACTGATCTGTTTGGCAACATCCGGTTTCAGCAAAGAGACTGCTCGCGGGGCAGCAGGCGCAGAACCCGCAGGCGGGGATGGTGCTCTCACAGAGACCGGCCGAGAGGATGGTGAGCAGCACGTCGTGCTGCTCATCATAGGATGCTTGGCCGTGGAGAGACGGCCGCCATGGATGGCCTCAGAAGCCACAGGAGGAAAGAAAAATGTATGCGCTGTGGACGATTGCTGCCATCCCAGCTTGCTACACTACAGTCTAGCCCTTGTTTCTTGTCATATGTTGGTTCTGTAAATGTGAATAGTAGTGGGGTGTTGCTGCTGCAGATGTTCAGATATGTTGTTGCAGTGCATTCTGGTGCTTAAATATATTTCTGGATGACCTTTGTGCTTCAATTATATATTTTATTTTCTAACGTTTCGGTCAGGACACAGAAAATATTGGTCATCGCAATGCAAATATGTCTCGATAATCTGGCAATTCATTGGCTAATCATCATTTGCTACTTTAGCTGATTGTGTTGAGCACAAGTTGTGAAACCTCCCAATCCCAAGCATGAGTAGCTCCTGGACTGTGAGCAACAGAAGACCAAAAGGAACAGAATAAGAACTTGTTTGCTGATGAACAGATGATACAAACAGTTGCACAGTGCTCAAATTCTCTGCAGCTTACAGGTTTATTCTCTCAAGGAATAAACCAGTTACTCCCTCTGATCCATAACTTTGTACTAAATTAGTGACAATTAATATGGATTAGAGGGAGTATTTATTTATTTATTTATTTATTTATTTATTTATTTATTTATTTATTTTAACCGTGCTTGTGTGCATATGTTTGCACTGGTAGTCTGAATTCAGAACTGAAGTGCAACGTGGTACCAAAACTTAATCAACAGACCCTTTTGCACTTGTTACACCTTGTCTGCATCATGCGGGCAAAGCTAATTGCAGAGAAGATGTTGTGTCTGTTCTTTTAGAATACACATCTATTTGTATTTCAGGATCTTATGTATTGTTAGTTATGTCGTTAAATATCTAGCTTCTTAGGTAATGTGTACTCGCATGGAATGCGTAGGTGGTGAACATCGACTTTACCTGCATGACATACAAATTTAACATGTCTTGATTATTTTATTAAGTTTGAATTTGCAAACTTAAGTATGCAAATTTAAATAATGACAAAAGTTTATAGGAGCCTAAATGAATTTCTTTTATTAGACAGTAAGCAGTGGCCCTGCACCCAGGTTTTTTCCGATAAATGGTGGATTTTATTGACTCAAAATGAAACATCAAGATATACAAACACAAAGAGCACACACCCGGCCTCTGCATAGTTAGGATGCACACAACCAACACCAAAGCACTCACACTAAAAAATACGCCGGCAAAAAAGCTAAGTCATACAAAACCAAAGCTATGCCTAAGCGAGTAAAAAGAACCCTATGATCAAAACAGTGACTGACAAACTACATCGACGACCATATCCGCACCAATCATCTCTTGACACCACAAGGACAATGACAAAGTTCTTCAACAACAACACCTTCAACAAGGGAACTATGCTCAAACACCGCTGTCACCGGATCCAACCATCAATGATCAGAATCTAGGTTTTCACCCTGAAGAAGCATAGGGAGCAAGATGACTACAAAAGTAAATGAGCACTCATGGTACCCCACATAGCCCCCCCCCAGTCACTAACATAAACAAAGTAGAAAAGGAACCAAATTTTGTACCAGTTCTGAAAGAGCGAAGAAAAAGGGATGTTTTGTTAATGGGAACAAGGAACTGTTTATAGTTATTGTTAGGAAATAGAGACTGCTTACTGGGCAGCAGGTGTAGAACCTGTAGGCAGGGATGGTGCTCTCACAGAGACCGGACGAGAGAATGGCGAGGAGCATGTCGTGCTCCTCCTCGTAGAATGCTTTGCTGCTAAGAGATGGCCACCATGGCCTTGAAAGCCACCGAAGAAAATATGTATGCACCATGGACGATTGCGAAAAGGCTGCGGCTGCTGCGGCCGGTGCGTCTAAGCTTGCTACACTACAGTCTAGCGGGCCCTTGTTTCTTGTCATATGTTGGTTCTATAAATGTGAATAGTAGTGGAGTGTCGATGATGCAGGTGTTGGGATACGTTGTTGCAGTGCATTCTGGTGCTTAAGTATGTTTCTGAATGACCTTTGTGCTTCGATTATATATATTTTTATTCAATGGTCGGACAGGGCACACAAAAATTTGGTCATTGGAATACAATTTGTGACACTGGCTAAGCATTTGCTAATTATAGCTGATTGCCGTTGAGCACAGGTTATGACACATCCCAAGCATTGAAGCTCCCGGCCTTCAACTCACATAAGACTTGTAGCAGGCTCGTTAATGTTTTTTTTTCTCTGTCCACTTATAAGGATGAAGACAAGGACGTAAATTTTAGGGTTGTGCTTCAAGGATTTCTTGATTATCTTGTTGCGTCATGGAGATAAGACAAGAGTTTGCACAGGGATGCTGGAGCAAAAGCGTGCAGTGCGGTGCATGTTGAAGTTATGATGATATCTTGGTAATTCCCGGTGCCTTCTATGCCTATGTCTATCGAATCCATATTCCTAATGTGCATAAACATGACAAAATGATGCACGGACTATTCAAAGATAGAAAGATGAAATGGAGAATAAGCTGTTCGCCACTTGTTGTGGGAGCCTTGCTCCTTATAAATCCTTGGATGGTAGGCACTAACATGAAGCCTTGTACTCTGGTAGGTCAATATCAACACATCACTTGCTTAAGTGGTTTGTCCTCTCGTAGGTTAGAGGCTATGGAACTTTTTTCAAAATTTCGAAGGGAAAAAAGGGTGGGGCAATCGATTCAATGTCAATTTTAGTCATGTGTATGGAGTTGAATGAGCGTGGTCCAGTGTGGTAAAAAAGTGTTGTTGATTGTCGAGTATAAGATGAACCTTGGGGGTTGAAATTTTACCTTTCATCCTTTCTTTTCATTTTGTGTTTCACTTCGAGTCAAACCAAAAACTTGGTTCGTTGCTAAGGATTTGTACCTTAATTTAGATATCTCGTGTGTAGACTCAGTTCAAATGATGCTTTGAACCGCTTTCGGACCATATGGTTGATGGCCTTAGTTTTTATTAGGAAGAGTTAATTGATCCACTGGTCTGTGTGCCAACATCAAGATGCACATAGCCAACACATCCGTTATTACAAAAATCAAGGAACAAACCCCGATAGACGTGACCATAATTAGAAGATACCTCCAATAGCACAACAAATCAATTGCTCAACGAAAATTGTAACTAAAAAGTCAAAAGCCCCATAGAGAAGAGACTAACTACCAGTTTTGAGTAAACTTGGTCGAACAAATCTGGAAAAGAAATTGCGGTTGGGGTGCACGGTGGAGTATGAGAGTAGTTCGTTGAATGTGAGCAATACAAGACCGAAAAGAACAGAAGAAAAACAAATTGTTTGCTGATGCATAGATGAACAAACAGTTGCACAACGCCCTAAATCTCTAGAGCTTATAGGTTTTATTGCGCGTACTTGTGACTTTATTTTTGGAAAATCTATTTTTTGAAATTCTGAAAACTATGAGACTCCTTGGAGCCAAAAATCCTGACTCGTGTGTGTTGTATGACTTCCAATATGATGAAGTAAGGAAGGTTCTTTGTACGGAGTGATCTTCACCATAGTCAAAAACCCAATGTTGCAAAACGATATCCCATGGTTAAACTTGGAAAGCCACCACCCACGCACACTGAACTATACCATGT